CAAAAAAAAAAAAAAAAAAAAAAAAAAAAAAAAAAAGTCACCATCTGAATCGGAATTCCAGTTCTGGAAGGACCAGACTTCATCAAGTTCTCTAACAGCACAGAAATGGAAATTATGGTCCATTTGACCTTGAGTCAAGGGCCATTGTTAGGCCAGAACTGTAGCACCGCCTACAGACGGGCAGGGAGGCGACACCCACGTTCCTGGTGCCCAGTGTGCTGTGCGTGAGGACCTCAATTACTGTGGCAGCTTGAAGTGCTCTCCACTGCAGACACGAGAGCAACTCAGAGGTTCTGGGCAATGTCCCCAAGGTCACACAGAGGTGAGGATCCAAAGCCAGCCCTCCCTACCATCTCAGTCTGGCACGTGGCTTCTGAGGACACACGGGCTCCTTCCTGTCCCCCCAGGAAGGGGTGGAGAGGTGACCAAGCAGGAAGGAGCTCCACTTCTCCACTGTGTGTGCATGTGAGGGACCGAGCAGCGGCTACCACTACGCGGCCTCAGGTCTCACTGCTGGAGGGGTGGAAGAAGCGCCGTAAAGCCGGTGACTTAACAACTCAAGGGCACTCACTCCACGCAGACGTTCCTTCCACTAGTGTCCGGGAGGCCAGAGTATTCATTCTTAAAAACAAAACATGCAACAACAGCACTCCCAAAATGAAACAAGAAAGAGGAGACCCAAGGAGCTCCACTCTACCGCTGGCGCCCACCAGTGCCTGTGCACGGGATCCTGGGACGCAGCCCCGAGGGATGAGGCCGAGCTGGCCGTCCAGACCCTGGGGGCGCTGTTCACATATTAGTGACGAGCAGAGGCTCAAGGAGTTGGGGTGTCGGGGAACCCCAGAAAGCCCTCTGAGCGGCTCCAGCTGGCTTCCTAGGTCCAATGCAGTCGCTTAACAAGTTGCCACGCAGCTGTCACCGGCATCAACCCAAGCCCAGGAGGAGTCTCCACAAAGCCGTGGTGACTGAGACCTCACGAGAATGATGACGATGACGAGTTACTGACCCGGCTGCCCAGAAATTACTTACTTACCAACACCTGTGAGACTCTCAGGTCCAAGCGCTTTATGATCAGTCCAGTGCACCACCGCGTGGGCGCACCGCCTCCTGGCCTGTCAGGGTCATCTGACCGAGGACACCTGGCTGGACCGCCGCTGCAGGCAGAACCCACGGAAGGAGGGTGCGGCCGGGTTTCCCAACCCTGTGGAATGCAGACTGGCTGCTCCCCACCAGGCCCCGGCTGCCCAGAGCTGCTCCTACCTTGCAGAACAGCCCCCACTTCTCCACTCCTGTTAGAGATGAGGAAGAAGAAGGAAGAGGCGGCAGAGATTTGCCTAAGCGTACACTTTTGGGAAGAAAGGGGGACACAGCACACGCTCCACGGCCTCCTCTCAGCCCAGCCCACTTTGAACTGTGCACCACAACCATTCCATTTTGTCTCGGGACTAGAGAGCAAGGCCCAGGGTGCCTACAGTTTGTCTATCCTGCAGACACAGGTCACAGGCTGGGCCACGGCCTACACAGAAGCACTGCAAGCTCTGGACAGGGCCCCGCTGCAGGCCAGCAGCACTCAGAGGCCAGCTCCTGTCCTAACTCTGGGGCTGGGGACCCAACTGAACCCCTCCTGCCTGCTCCTGCTAGAGACACATCCTGGGGGCCAAGTGCCAGGACCCTGCTCTCTCCGAGGGAAGCCCAGCGTGCCAGGCAGGGACCAACCTGTGGGTATGAGGATGGCACAGGCCCCACACTGTGCCTCTTGCAGACACCCAGCACTGTGATATCACCCAGGCAAGAGGTGAGGTTTTTAGGGACTAAAAACAAAAGTGCTGGGACAGTGAAGGTAAGTGCTGGAAAGAGAGCAGGGCAGAGAGAGACGCAGCCACCGAAGGAGGGCTCTGCTGAGGGGTACATGCTGTAACCCAGGCACCGTGGAAGCTGAGGCAGGAGGATGGTAAGTTTGAGCCCTCACCCGGGAACAAGGCCCTGTCTCAAAAAATAAGAAAGAGCCTGGGACATACGTAGCTCACCGAGAGGGCCCTGGGTTGAACCTCCAGTAATAAAAATGGGTCGGGGGGAGCCACCTGGCTTCAGTTTCTGGGGATCGCACGGATCCCAAGCACTTCAAGTGGGAATGCAGGCACAGCGACCTGGGGGGACCCGGGACCCTGGAAACTAGGCTCAGAGTGTTCTACAAGTGGGCCCTGGGCCCTGGGTTGAACCTCCAGTAATAAAAATGGGTCGGGGGGAGCCACCTGGCTTCAGTTTCTGGGGATCGCACGGATCCCAAGCACTTCAAGTGGGAATGCAGGCACAGCGACCTGGGGGGACCCGGGACCCTGGAAACTAGGCTCAGAGTGTTCTACAAGAACACATCCTTGGGCTGGGGAGCACCTCAGGGGACAGCTCTCGCCTGATGTGGGGGGCCCTAGGTTTGATGCACACAGGCATGCACTGCACAGCCCCAACTAGGAGGGTCCCGGGTACCCCCACATCTGCCAGAGGGCTGAAGGGGAGCCCTGAACAGAGCCCCCCTCAGCCTGGCTCCCCTGACCGCCTGGTCTGTGAGGCAGCCATCCCCTCCGGCCTCAGTATCCTCGGTCCATAAAGGAAAGGGACAGCTTGAGCCAAGTGCTAAGGTCCTCGGACCCCAGCAGCCCTCGCAGGGCTGAGACTCTAGGAGTCCTCCATGCTCTGGCACAAAGACCACACTTTCTTTGCTAGTTTCTTGGGGTTTATATCTTGGCTTTTAACCCCCCTTTCTCCATTCTCTGCCAATAGTAAAAAAGAAACCCACTGTAACTATCTCTGTCGGCAGTTTTCCTGAGTGTGTAGTGTTTTCAACCATGCATGGCACATAGTCATTATTTCCTTTTGTTCGCTCATTTAATTTTTTCCAGAATGGAGAGGTACAATCAAAATACATTAAGTATTACAAAATGAACTGAGAGCAGCCTTAAAAACCCCAAGTCAAACATTTCCCATGTTTACACGCTGATATATCTGGGGTCTATTCTGAGTTTCACTACCTGGCAACATAGTCATTTGAGTTCAAAAGAGGCTTAGAAAGGCCTACTTGCTTAGAGCCACAAAGCCCCAGTCTGTGGAGCAACACTCAGTAGTGCATTTACTGTAGATCCTTATCTTCCTAAACAACCTGTCTTTCTGGATTCTCCCGGTCACTAAGCCTTGGCCGGGGAACACACACTTCACACACTTTCCACGGGAGAGTCACGGAACAGGACCTCAGCCCCGGGTGCGCACACTGCACTGGGCTTGCTTTGCTACAGCAAGAAACTGACTTCATCCACCAACATTCTATCTCCACTGACCCGACAGGAGCTAGAAACCTCTTGGGGAGCACAGAAAACCATGAGTTCAATCACCAAGTCTCTCTACCCTGAAGGCTATGGTGTGGAGACCATGAAAAGATGGAATTTTCCTGGCATTTCGGTTGTCCTGGGGTGAGTATTAAATTAGGAACATGCACCTTCTCCTCTTCACTTAATAGCAGGAACGGCCTGGCTTTTTGTCTCTGGAAATCTGCTTCCAAAAGGAAAGCAAATGATTTTTTAGAATGTAAAACTGGTTGGGCCTGGTAGCTCACACCTGTAATCCCAGCACTCGGGAGGCTGAGGCAGAAGGATTTCCAGGAGTTCAGGGCTAGACTGAACTACACAGTGAGACCCTATCTAAAAAAAAAGAGCAAGACCAGGAAGAAATTGGCCTTGCCATAGATCGATATTGAGATACCACCCCCCATTTCTACTTCAGTCTACTCTGTATGGCCACAAGCATGCGCACGTGTTCAATGTTCTATAGCACGCAGTCAGGACATGTGACCCTTTTTCATCCACACTCCACAGAGCATAGGAAGCACCCTGCTAGCTTCTAGAAATGCAATACACACTTAGACCCTTCCTGTTTTGTTTTGCTGTTTTTTTGGTACAGGGGATCAAACTTGGGTCCTTGCACTTGCGAGGCAGGGGGTGGAACCACAGAGCTAAATCCCCAGCCCATGACACTATTTTTAACATTTTTGGTTTATTTCTGAGACAGGGTCTCACTATGTAGCCCAGGCTGACCTTGAACTAACAATGATCTCCTGCCTCAGCCTTCCGAGCGCTGGAATTACATGCATACACAGCTCTGCTGGGCTTGGGCTCTTTCTCTAGCTGGGATTTTGCTCATGTACTGCTACCTATTTTGCTATCACTGTAGTCTCCCGTTATAATGTCTCGAACAAGACAGATACGGGTCTGCCGGCCAGACGACGATGGGTTATTTGTAGCCAGTGTTAAGACAAGGTACAGGTGGGACAAATACCAAGTGAAAGGGACAGATCCACAGGGAGGATGGCAGCTTGTCCTGTGCTTTTCTAGGGCCCGGCTGATGGTGAAAATGTAAGGCAAAGGCCTGAAACTTGGCCTGGGAATAAAATATCCCCTCCTGGGCTTTCAAGAGCAGCACCCAGACCCAACCCTGCCCCAAGCTCTTCTGTAACTGTGTTCGGAGCCTTAATTAATGTAGGAGAGGGATTTACTGTCTTTGCAGTGCTGCTGCCAGTGCCTAGTAGCTAGCGGCGATGTTCCCTCTTGCTCTCATGCCTGCCCTGCACAATTAGCACCTCATTATCGCTGGCCTCTCTTCTAATAACCACAAGGCTCAGCTGAGCACTTTATTTTATTGTCTGGTTCCAGCACTAGTTGGAGGGTTCCAGCTATAATAAATCCTGCCTCCTTCCAGGCAGGTGTTTAGTTTCCTATCTCCTGAGGCCCATGAGAACAGTGGAGGGACTCCAGGCATGCGACCGCTTCCTGACTAGAGAGCCACCAGCAGCTCTGGGGTGTGGCACAGGGCGGGAAGAGCACCAGATCAGGGCTCTCTCATCAGCAGCCAGGCCTATTCAATCCCCCATGTATTGCTTTCTCTTTATCTAACAAGATGGGCTGAAACATGAGGAAACATCTCATGGGTGTCACCGTCCGTGCTTCTCTAGAAAAAAGACTCACAGGACCGAACAGACTCTCACTTTTGGAATGAAATCTAAGTGTAGTTTAGAGGGTGGCTGCCAATACCAGGAGAGCACATGCTCTAGTGAATGCGGTGGAGCCAGGGGAGGCGGTGAGGGCGGGGTGGCAGCCAGAACATCTGGATGTAGATCCTGGCTGTCCCATGTACTCTGTAGTTATGTGATCTGTGACCTTGCTCAAAGTATTGAATTGCTGTGTGCCTCAATTTCCCAATCTGTAAAACAGGATTCAAGGGCTCTTATGAGGACTCAATCTTTGTAAAGTGCTTGGCACATAATAAGAATTACAAACAGCGTTAAAGATTAAGAGAGGATAGTGTTTTAGGACAGACACATCTGAAAAACAGTATGGCCCCCTGCAGACCCTGATGGTGATAGAGAAACAAGCTGACTTACAGAATAGGGTGCCATCCTTGGCTTCTTGATTTTTCTGGCCATTATATGTTCTTTGAATTACTTCAATTAAGCAACAACAACAAAAAAACAACAAGAAAAACTTTTTTGTTTTTGGTACTGGGGATCGAACTCGGGTCCTTGCCCTTGTGAGGCAGGCGGCAGAATCACTGAGCTAAATCCCTGACCCAATAAAAATGTTTTGGCAGCATTTAAGTACCACTATTAGTGAAGGCTTTTTTTTTTTTTTTTTTTTTTTTTTTGTACTGGGGATTGAACTTGGGTCCTTGCGCTTTTGAGGCAGATGGTGGAACCACTGAGCTAAATCCCCGGCAAGGCATGTTATTTTTAGTAGAGAATTTAAAATGAACATCCAGCTGTTTGCATTTCTTCATACCTACCAAGCCTAATATATGAGACAATAATGAACATTATTCAGCAAATACTGCTGACCCTTCTCCAGTGAGGACCTTTTATCAATTGTCAGATGGCTCAAATACATATTCTACACTTTTTAAAAGTTTTTATTACTTTTGCAGCACTGGGGATCAAACCTAGGCCTTCACATATGCTAGGCAAGCACTCCACTAGCCCTATTCTGTATTTTCAAAAACATATGGAAAGGATTTTCTATAAAAATAACTCGACATTTTTAACAACAACAACAGAACAACAAAATGACTCCATGGTATCCAGGCTCAGATATTCTCCCATGTCTCTGATCTGTCAACTTCTTGCCACCCTTTACACCCTTTTGATATTCTAGTTGAAATGTCACTGCTGGGGTCTCCATGCTTTCTCTGGCACAAGACACTTGTGTCTAACACCAGGAGCACCTTGCTATCTGAGAGTCCCTCACACAGAACTGCCGTCCAGCCACCCAAAGGTGCACCTATGTGCCATTCCAGGGGGCACCTGTGCCTTCCTCAGGAAGGGACCCCTCCCAGCCTCCCAGCTCCCAGTTTCTCTGGAGGGCAGAGCCCAGCCCCACAGAGTCCCTTCAGGTGCAGTGCAGAGGTGGCAGAGGTGGCCAATGTGGTCAGGACTCTTTGAGACACGGTCCAGTTCTACCACACCCACTGATGGCAGCATAGTTCAGACCACCAAGCTCTGCAGCCCTGTTGAGTCCAGAGCCTTGACCTCTACTGTGCCTGGGGAGCTCCTTCAGGTGCAAGTGGTTCAAAAGCTAGCAAAAGCCCATCTATGTACAGTAAGTTATGTGGGATACTGTTATTTGAAGCCATTATCTGACAAACACCTACTTTTTAATGATTAAGCTCACAAGGATTACTTTCACTCTTGAAGACGGGGAGATTCCTCAAAAATGGGACATCAAGAAAGTGAAGTTTTGCTGGGAATTTGGCTCAGTGGTTCCGCTGTCTGCCTCACGATCCCTAGTACCTAAATAAATAAATAATTAAAAAAAAAAAGTGAAGTTTTGCTTCCTGTTGGTGCACACCTGCAATCCCAGGAGGGAGGCTGAGGCAGAAGGATCACAAATTCACACTCAGTCTGGCAACTTCCAGACTTAGCAAGTCTATGTCAAAAGAAAAAAGAGATGGGGATGTCACTCGTGTGAAAGTCCTGGGTTCAATCGCTGTACCCCCCGCAAAGAAAGTGAAGCCTCAATCACTTCAGTTGAACTTTCCCTCATTCATCCACTTGGCTTCTTTAAAATTTGCATTGCACCCTGTCTGCTCCTCCTCCACGAACTCCCTTCGGTGACCCCAGCTTCACCTTGCAGGTATCCTATCTGCGTGTGTGAGGCCCATACTCCCACTGGGCGCCACAGGGCGTTGCTCCTTTCCAGGCAGCTCCACAGCTCCGGGCGATCCACTCCGCCGAGCCGGGGATTCCGGAAGTGCGGAGACGCCCGGGGCACCATGCACTTCGCGTAGCCAGTTACCAGATCCTCCCCACTTGCTCTCTTTGGGACGACACTAAGGCGACCACCTGAAGCAAAGGGAGCTCGCGAGATCCTGGGTCCGGGTTCGGCGCGCGCGGTGTGCGTGTGTGTGGGGGTCCCCACTCCTGGCCCAGACCGGTCGCCTCATCTCCACCACCCAGGAAGCGGCCAATAGCGACCTCGCTTCCCTCGCTGGGGGCTGGGGTCCTCCTGCCTCCCAGCTACTCCAACTCCAGCTCCTTGCAACTGCACCCCGCGCCGGCGCAAGCGAGGGCCCGG